AGCAGAAAGACTGCTGAGTGCTCCTGGCCTAGGGAGAAGAGATCACAAGTTCTATAGGCCCCTGCAGTCCATTCAGAGGCTGTCAGGTAACTGGCACTTCAGCAGTTCAGTGCCAATCCCCACTGAGTTTGACATGCTGGGGGGTAGTCAGATGCACTGCTCTCACCTGGGAGAAGAGGGATGATGCTCTGAATACTACACTCTGCTCAGCAGAGGGTAACAGGCTACTGTAGTTCAAATAAAGCCAGTGGTTTGGTGCAAACAGGCCTAGGTTGAGTTCCTGCTGCTGGCTAGTGGGGGGCTGCAGGCCTGCACCAGTGACTTGACTGGGACAAGGCCTAGCACTGAGTTCTGTGATGCTCTCCAGCTTTAGGAGAGCTGGAGCTTGGTTCAGGAAGCATTACTGGATGGGATGAGACTCCAGATTGGGGTGGATGGTGTCACTGAGTACCACAGCCAGTGAGGATTCACTTGGGCAGAGTGGGGCAGTCTGAAAGAGCTAGCAGGAAGCAAGTGAGCATTTTACTATGCTACCTTGAAGCATGTGAAGTTACCAGCCCAGGCTCAGTACTCACCCAGACATTGGCATGATGGAGATAAAGTCTTTCTGGTAAGAATATGGAATAAACTTGATGCAGGTGAACTTTGCAAAGTCTGCAAGTGCTTCCTGGATGATCTTCACACTAGGCCTATCTGGGGAGGAGAGGCACTTCAGTATCATGCTACCTGGCTGACTCACCTGCATCTCTACAGCTGTCTGGGCTTTGGAACACTCACCCTGCCAGCTCTTCTTCTAGAAGCTGGTGCAGCTCCTGTCCCTGACTGGGTAGCCCAATTCCACAGAAACAGACAAGTGGCCATTTCCAGCAGTCCACTGTGTGGCTAGAGAAACTCAGGGTCCCTGGAGGGCCAGGTACTCCTGGGAACTGGCAATACAAGCTAGTGCCAAGTTAGTGATTAGTCCCTAGTGCAGAGGCTCTCAAAGGGGGACTTGGGACCTCCTAGAGGCACGAGGATACTACATGGTGGGGTTGTGAGCTGTCAGCCTCCACCCCAAACCCAGCCTAGCCAGCAGCATTTATAATGTTGTTAGACACTTGTATAAGGAAGTTACTCTAGAGGCTAGTTGTGTGAAAGTGGTCATTAGCACAAACATTTTAGAACCACTGCCCTAGCAAAGCCCCTTCTAGAAAGGCCAGTGGTCAGCAAGTCCTTGTTACTTCAACCAGCTAAGAAACCACAGCCAGCCAAAGAGGCAAGGTGATTACTTTCTGGCAGCCAGGGTTGTAGTGCCAATTGCCAACTGTTATTCAATAGGTACCTTCCTGAACCCTGGGGGCCCCCTGTTGGTCTATCTAGTGTTTGTCACCCAATACCTAGACCCTGCCCTTCAAGAAAGGCTTCTAGCACTAGACACCACCTACCATATTTGTAGGAGATGACATAAGGAATTTGGACTGTGCCTCTTCTCTTTGGCCATTTTGGGCTTGCAGATGAGAACAGTCTGAAAGGGCTCTAGAACAGGAGAAAAATATGCTAGTTGGTGGGCAGGTGTCCCTAGGATTGGCCTGTAACCAATAGCCTAACTGGAGGAAAGACGACCACCAGGCTTCAGCATCCCCTTACTAGGTTTGTCCTTGAACACTGATCACCAGCCAGTCAAGGTTCATCAATGGCTACCGTTAAACTGTACTAGCTGCATATAGTGGGAACAGAGGGAAAGCACAGTGCTTCCCCTTGTGGTTCAGTCTCATGTCCTCTGCATTGACAGCTCCATCTGTTACTGCTGTGTTTGCATTCTGAAGTGGTTACTGCATTGTAGTTCTATTGAATCACATGTCTCCCTCTATGCACTGTCAGATCATAAAGCCATGTCAGTGAAGCTCACATGGCTGCCATGTGAGCTAGGTGCTGCTTTTGTCAGGTCCCTGGAGCAGAACACTATTTTAGCCAAAACTAGACACAAGACGTTCTAACAAGAACCTCTGTTCAGCTTTAGTATGGCAAGCTCTGAAGTCATAGAAATGTAGGATTGGAAGATTGCTCAGTCATCTAGTCCAACCTTCTACTCAAAGCAGGGCCAACCTCAACTAAATCATCCCAGCTAGGGCTTTGTCAACCCGGGACTTAACCTCCAAGGATGGAAATTCCATCACCTCTCTAGGACTACGTCTACACTAGAGTTTTTGGAAAAACCAGCCATTTCTATAAAACTTCACTTATGTCCACACTGCAATCACATTTAAAAAAAATGTCAAAAGAACAAAGATTTTTTCCCTCCAACATTGGTAAGCCTCTTTCTACAAGAAAGAAGCCTTTTTCTGAAAGCTATTTTAGAAAAAGGTGTGTAGATGGGGAAGAGAGTTTGAAAGAAAAGGAAAGAGGAAAAGCACAAGTGTCCTGGTGGCCACTCTGTCCATAGTAATCACAACTGAAATATGAGCGAGTGTCCATTCAGTGTGGATGCTGTCAAAAAAGCAGATTGCTTTTTTGATGCATTTTGGCAGTATGGACACTTTTGGAAGATCTCTTCAGAAAAGCTTCTTCTGAAAGAAGCCTGCAGTCTAGACTTAGCCTAGGTAACCCATTGCAATCCTTCACCTCCCTCCTAGGGAAATAGTTTCCTAATATCCAACCTAAACCTCCACCACTGCAACTTGAGACCATTGCTCCACATTCTGTCATTGCTATCGCTGAGAACAGTCTAGCTCCATCCTTTAGGACCGTCCCTTCAGGTAGTTGAAGGCTATCAAATCCCCTCACTCTTCTTGTGTAGACTAATTAAGCCCAAATTCCTCAGCCTCTCATAGATCATGTTCTCTAGCCCCCTAATCATTTTGACTGCCCTCCACTGGATCCTCTTCAATGTGTCTATCCTTTCTATAGTGGGGGCCCAGAGCCTTTTCTGAAGTACTTTAGGCAGTAATTTCCCAGTTTGTATTTGGGGAAACTTATTCCTTAAGGCTGTGTCTAGATTGCAACCCTTTCCATAAAAGGGATGCAAATTAGACACAGCGTGATTGCAAATGAAGCGGGGATTTAAATCTTCCCCCCTTCATTTGCATAAACATGTCTGCCACACTTTTCTGGCTCGGGGCTTTGCCGGCAAAAAGCGCCAGTCTAAAGTGGCAGACATGTTTATGCAAATGAAGGGGGGAAGATTTAAATCCCCGCTTCATTTGCAATCACGCTGTGTCTAATTTGCATCCCTTTTATGGAAAGGGTTGCAATCTAGACACAGCCTAAGTGTAGGACAAATGCAGGACCAATTATACTTTAGGGACTATTTGTTTGTTTAATATAATTTTAAATTCTAATCCTGCCCTTAGAAGTGCCCCCTATCCACCCCAAATTTTAAATAGAGTCCATTTTTCAGTATCTTTATAAATTTGAATGGGATAAAACCCAGAATAGATGCCTTCAGAATTCCATTCGATATACCCTTCCAGCTTTACTCTGAAGCATCAACAACCACCAAGTACACTTTTCCCAACCAGTTGTACATCCACCTAAAGGCAGGGTCATCTAGGCTATATTTCTCTAGTTTCTTTATGAGAAAGCTACGTGAGACTATCACAAGAGCCTTAAAGTCAAGATATATCACATTACTGCTTTACCCCTGTTCTTAAGGCTTCTTACCCTGTCAAACATGTCAAACCAAATTAAAGCCCTTGATTTGTTCTGAACAAATCCATGCTGATGTCTGCTTTATTTTCTTCTAGGTGCTTGCAAATTGACTATTTGCTCCATTATCTTTCTGGATACCAAAATTAAACTGACTGGTCTATAATTCCTTGCCATTTCTTTATTCCCCTTTACAGATGGGCACTCAGGAGAGCCAACAGGATTGCTAGACCGTGAGGGGGGGGGGGAAGAGAGAGAAGGGGTGACCGGCTCTGCATGCCCAGAAGGGGCAGAGCTACCCAAGAGCACAGCACCTTTCCCCCTTTGCCGGCCCTCAGAGGCAGCTGGAGCATGTGCAGCACAGAGCTCCGCAGCATACCACATGTCAATTCTACAGGTCCTGGGCACATTGTTCAGTGGACCTGCAGGTGTTATGTTCACTTTTCTAGTCCTCTGGGACCTTACCTTTGTCCACAAAGTTAAGAGATGCTAGTGGCTCAAATCTCTTCAGCCAGCTCTTTAAATTTTCTAGGGTATTAGACAGCTTGTCTATTGGCCTACCACCTTGTCCTTGGTCTTCCTCTTGCTTCTAATGCTTGGTTAGCTTGTGTCCTCAGTTTAATCTTGTTTGTTGCCTTGACCTTGGTAATTTTGTCCCCCTGTGATTTATAGTCCTTCATAATTTGAAATGTTAACTCACCAGGATCAATGCAGGAAAATGCAAGGGGCAGAGGAGCTGTCTGGGCATGGGGCCTACTTTTGGAAGCCAAATCCCCCTCTGCAGGAAAGTGAGGGGTCACCCCATACACACTCCCCATGTGCAGCAGAGGCCTCCACATCTTAATGCAGAACTCTTCCCTCACTTTGTGCAACCCAACATAAGTTCTTAGAAGATCTATCTGCTTAGCAGTGGTGGTAGTTTTGCCTGACATTTGACTCCTCAGCTATTGTTCGTAGAGGATCTGGAATCAAGGTCAACATCTCTACAGCTCATTGCACATTGCGTTCTCATTTAGTGTCACTAGCTGTGGCAGAGGCAGAGATTAGTGAGGGCTCTGTGCTCCTGTTGATAATGTGTTTCTGCTTCCCTCCTCTGCATCTGGCCTCAATGCTGCTGTAGCAAGCACCTGGAGCCAGTTAAGAACATCACTAGGACTCCCAATCCTGGATCCAGTCCATTCAGATCTACCCACAGCAACCTGCTCAGGGCTAGAGACCTGCCAACAGATACAGTCTTATGATCCTGTCTTCTCCAACCCCCTCACCCAAAAGGAGCCTTCTCCAAAAATGGATTCCCCTCCTACACCGCAGGAGCTTCACTCACCACTTTCACAATGTCACCTTCCATCAGGAAGCTGCTCCCTGGTGCCTCTGGAGGGATGAGCTCTGGAAGTAGAAGAACCCCCATCATTCTATGCACCCCATGTGCCTCAGGTAGAAGGTACCTGACCTGCTATCACCACCAAGTGAGCAGCCAGTCCAGAATCAGAGCACAACCTGCACCCTGATCATGGGAAGCTTGATCCAGAGCTTTGTTAGGAATCTGCAGAGACTTGCTTCTTGACAACCAGTCATGTACTCGGCAGCTGTCCACTGCCTATACTTAGTTACTACCTTCCTCCCCCATCCAAATACACTCCAAGAATAGTCCCCCGGCATCCATGGGAGATTGTCTGATGTTCCTCCAGACACTGTTCTCTTGGCTTGCATTATTGCAGGCAACCCACTGCATGCTCCCCAGCCTGGGAAGGAGCC